AAAAAAAAAAGGCAGTTCATTAACTGGTGTTTTATATAAAATCTGCAGAAAAATACAACAACGACAAAAACAAAAAATACTTCACAGATATCTAAAAAAACCCATCAGAGATACAAGGTAAAGCAGCATCACTTTGACACTGTGCTTTAAAAATAAGAAGATGAATGAAGAGATTGCTCTAGTGATATTAGAAAATTTGCTTTCTTCTTGAAGAAGACTACTAACATTTTGCACAGCAACTATTTTTTATAACCACCTCATTTAAAAACGTGTATTCATAGACACAGAGAATTGTCGTATCATTACCATTTTTGCTCAAAGTGTCCGACTTTACACAGTGAAACTGATAATGCGAAGTGTCACTCGATGTCACTATACCATGAATTCAATATTAGAATAGAAGTGAAGCAAATGCCTTTAAACCAACACCATAAAAGAAATAATAGAAAGTGTTTTGTAAACAAAACAAACCACTTTGCAAAACAAGAGTTCAGAGATCTCACAGTGAAATCAGAAATCTTAATTATATATGCTTACATTCTAGGACTACTCTTTACCTTAGGCCAATTAAAGCACATTAAACCACTTATTTATATACAAACATTTAAAAAAAATTTAAAACATTGCACACAAGTTTGCTTTTAAACATCACATAACAAGGTTAGTTTTATTTTCAAAACAATTACATTTAAGGGCACAGAACATACAGAATACCAAATTAACAGCTGAGTATTTTTGCATCTCTATACATGCTAAATCCAAAGATTTCCTCAAAAAAGTTAGAGTTTAGCGACTCCAACTTCTTTCATGTATCCTGTTCTCTGAAAGGGAGCAATTCCCAAACCTCCTTTATCTTAGGATTTAAAAAAATATATATATAAAAAAAATAAAGCTGTACGTTTTAAAGTTGTAAGCATCTTCTGCTTTAAGCGTTCATGCAGAGATCCTTTGATGGCTCTGCCTACACCACTGTAACCTTGTGGGAAATCCTTTACACTACTCAGTTACAGTACTTACATGACTTGCATCAGAAGTCTCATGCTGGCCTTTCTGGGAGTAGGGTGAAAAGGGGAACACAAAACTGGAGAAGTAAAAAATACACAAGGGGTGTACTGAAGGCCATTTCGATTTCTTACAAACTCTCATCATTTCCTTTCAGGTATTAGTAAAAGCTAAGAGGAAAAAAAAACCACTTTGGCAGAGAAGAGCATAAAAATCATTCCTTTAAAAAAATTAAATAAGAATAGTTTCCCAGAACATACTATTAAGCTTTCCAGAAGCCTTTTTCCTTTTTCTTTTGCTCTCTTTCTCTTTTTTTTATTTTTATTTTTATTTTTTTGCTTAATAATGAAAGGCTCCTAACAAATTTCTGGGAGAAAATTCAAATACCTTAACAGAAAAATAAGTTAAGCGGAAAAATAACAAAAAAAGGTGTCACTCCAAAATAAGTTTTTCAAGACTGTCATTCTAAGTTCAAGGCAATAAATAAAGCAACCACCGCAGAGATAGAAGCAAGTATCTTTTTGGGTCTATCTCTGTATGACTAGCTTGTCCCACCTAAAAGAAAGCCAGCCACTAGATGTCATTGAACTGACCGTCCATTATGGGAGATAATTTGTAGTTTTACAAAAAAAAAAAAAAAAAAAAAAGTTGGTGTTTAAACCAAAACAAATTCACCTGGGTTCGTATCTCTTCTGAGCAGATCATGATCAGAAGACTAGCAAAGGCATGTTTACGCTATAAAAAACCCTGAAGCAACCTCTTACACTATAGTCCACAACACTGGACAAGGTACTTGCCAACCAACAGTTTGCTTGATACATTAATTTTTTTCTGACAAAGGGCCTTCGTTAAGCAATTATTCGCAGCAAAGGGTATTAGCAAGTTCTATGATCTCCAAGATGTGGAAACAGAGTATGACTAAAAAGGCCAACATTAGGCAAAGGGTAGAACAGAAACGCATTTTTAAGTGACTGAAGAGAAAAAACACTGGACAAATAATTTGCTTAAAAGCTTCTTCACAATAACAGTTCTAAAGATGGGGGGCTGTGAAGTATTACTTTATTAAGATTCTGACTGACTGACAATTATCACTATGATTAATATGGCAACTTGTTAGTTTAGCAAAAGAAAGAATACATTAACTGGAGTCTGGAGTATCTCAGAGTCAAGACTCAAAGGTTACGCTGCACGTTTTCAAAGAATTACGGCTCCACAGAATGGGCAAAAGATTAATTTTATCATGGACCTGACTGCAATTATACAGAACAGGATACACACATCCTGTATATTAACTATTTAAACAGGGTTCTGTTTAAATAGCAAATGACTTGGGGGGAGAGAAGAAGGAAAAACAGCCTGGGAAAGAGACATTATAAGCAAACCACTATTCAAGCAGCAATAAAGCCATGCCTTCAGCTTCATAACCACATAAGGCACCCTGGGAAAAAAAGCAAGCAAGGATGAAGCAACAGCAGCCAAGCAAAAGGGTCCCTGAGCTAACCTGACTTCACAGGTTAGATGGTAATGCATTCATTAATATTAGAGCAAAGAGGACTGGTCTGGAAGTACCAGCAGCTGATAAAAAGACGTGC